CTTATATGGCCGACGACAAGCCAGGCAACCTTCGAGGAGATCTCGCGTTCGAAATCGCTCGCGTATCTGCCTGCATGGGACTGTGTCGTGGAATTGCGCAATCGTTGCGTCTCCCAAACTGGGTCAACTCTCTAGATTTTTCTCAATCTAGATTGTGCCCTCCTTTTTTTTTTTTTTTATTTCCGTTGCTGGACGAATAAACTCGTCCATCACTGTAGATTCAACTGTCTGAGTATCGCTTTTCGATATTCGCTACGCGAAGACGAGTGGAACGACGAGTTGATCGAGTTTCGTCGTAACGAAGTGAGTTACAAAAACATATCGAAGAAGTTGAAATTCCGAATAAAAGCGGGGATACGTAATACGTGAATCATAATTGGCTTGGCAATCGAGCAGAAACGTTCGCGTTTACGTGGTATTTCAAAATGGAAAGTAGGTTGGAAAGTAGGTTGTTTACATCGGATGAATCTACGACGAAGTTCTTACTTAAGGTAATCAACCTTCTAAAGGAACGTAGTTGGCCAACTGATCATTCCAGGAGCAAATCTTCCGTCACCGGCATTTTTACACCGATATGGAAACTGGTCGAGCGAGGGACGACTCTTTGAACGTGGTTCTCTTTGCGCTCGCGATCAAGGTAAATCGATGTAACCGATTGCAATTCCACCGATTCGTCGCTCCTTTTTTTTTTTTTTTTCTCCGATTGGCGAGAAAGAATTTTCGACCGATGCGTTTCTGTTTCGAACGTCGGAATGCTTGCGGTGCCAAACTCGCTCGAAGTAAGAAAGAATTTTTATTTGTACTGTACAGAAGCATCGCGTCACTGCTTGCACAGCGAATTCTACTCCTCGGGGAATGCAAAATTCATACGAGCCATGCCTCGATATCAACTCGATATCAAGCTGATATTTATTCAGCGCTTATCTTCGCTACTCGATGGCTTTCTAAAAGTTGTAGCACATCAGTCTAAATGTTTTCTTATGTCGGCTGATCGATAATCGTTGATATATCACCGATAGTATCGTGCTCGATATTCATTATATTTGTCAATAACTGCTTCTAAATCGTCGTGTCTCTGACACGACAGGAAGTAATTGGCCAATTAATTGATTAGACAGGAAATCTCTCATATTTTTAAATGTAAAACACACAGTAATTATCAATATCAAGATTAAACGAGACAAAATTGGTAGGATGCGGATTTTATGCATTTTAAAATTTTTATGAAACAGAAGAAACTGAAGAAATTCATTTCATCCACTGTATCTATTTTGGATATTTTGTATAATATATTTATATTAGATATTTTTGCATAATATATGCAACTCTCAGTTTTCCACGAATGTGCAAAATCCTAGTTACGAGGTAAAATTTCAAAGATAAAACAGCAAATCTCGAATTGATCGAGCAGAAGTGCTCGTCGAGCATAATAATCCTCTAATTGTAACTCGGTTAGAAACGTTAGTTTTACGGCCGGTAAATTAATCTAAGTGGACTCGATGCAACGAAGAAAATGATTCCGTTGGTGGCATTTCATCTCGTGAGTAGAGTAATTCCTTCGATTCGTCCGGTTCATTGATGGCCAGGCCTTTGACCCAATTTTCATGACCGTGAACGAGCTAGAGCGCCGTTAAAAGGCTCGTTGTCGCAAGTGCTCGGAGAGACACGAGGCGATCCTTTAATTGCAGACACTTGCACCGGCAAATGACGCACGCTATACTTTTTTTTTACAGAACAATCCGCGTCATTGCAACAAATCGCGCATTTCTTCTTTTGGATTTCGACGAACGAAAGGAAACGACGTTGGCAATGATCATCAATCGATCTTTGGACATTTTTATTGACGTTTGTAATACCCTTAAGCAGGGAACGAAATTTCAACGATAAAAGACAAGAGCGAACTCGAAAATAAATCGAAATGCGACAGCGAGAGGAAAAATACATGTACATACAACGACGTTTAAAGATATCTCAAGTATGCGATATCTAATCGCGCGCAAGTGCAACGATCAGTCCAATATCGACACGTCGTTCACTTCGATCGGTAAGAAATTACGTTTGTTTGATCGTGATACACACAATCTCGACAAGCATGCCTGTATTTTCGTTTGGACAAGAGATACTCGAGCGCAGGTACTTCTTTTTAGAAGCGTCAGAAAGAGAAAGAAGAACGATATAGGCGAGGGCTCGCTGTAACCCCGCATATAATTTTCAACACAATAGACTCCACACCACGCCCTTCGAACTTCAGGAGCCTGCTCGAGAGGAGACGAGGAATCTTACATCGGTAGACGTCACACCCTGTTCCCAAACTCCTCGTTTTGCCTTAGAGACTTTTCTATGTGCCACATTCTATGTGGCCTTCCTAAAATTCGATGCAACGATAAGCCTATTATTCTTCAGCCTCCTCGTGCCTGTTCGTTTCTTTAAAATTATTACAACGGCAAATTTATTCCCTCTTTTCTCGGGACATCGGCGTTAACTTCTCATATTTTTTTTTCATCGCAAAAATTAACAATCCTCCAGCGTCCTCATATTTATTTTCAAAAATTCTATAAATTTTTTTAAATTTCTTATTTTTATATAAATGTAAATTTCTACTTTATATAAATTTATTTTTTTTCTTTTTCAAAGTACCGCATCATCTTTTCGTATTTTTTTTATATCACTGTGTCGATTTAACGATTCTTCTTTGAACGAAAGGAAGGAAGCTGCCTGTTCAAATTTTATAAAAAAAAAAATAAAGACTAAAAGAGTCAACTTTTATTTGCATTCGCAATGAGTATAACAATAGATATTATACTGGGAACGGAAGATAGAGCACAGTGACGCGAGGGAAATTGCTAAGCGACCGATGACACGGCAGCAAAATTTATGCAAATGATCCCGCGGAATTACAAACGTAGAATGCTCGCCGATGTTATAATCCCGTGTTAAGTAATCTGAGAGGTGCTTTCACGAGCGAATCATGGTGGTCTGCCACGTTCCCCCTAAAATTGCCAGCGTTTTTCGACTGCGAGCCGTCCTTCTTCCCTCGTTAATGAAATTATCGCGCGCTTACTTAATACCTAAATATAGAAATCGCATCGTGCTGTACGTCGTACATGGACTTGTATCGCGGAGATAGTGCGCGTTTGTTGGAACGAATCGAATGTTATCGTTGGAACACGAGAAAATACGGTTGTAGAGGAACACTTGTCGCTGCAGGTTATCTGTTATCGCTGTTCAAACGCAAATTTAACATTTCTAATAATTTATATTAATTTACGACGGAGACTACTCGAGGAGAAACAATTCTCAATTCACAATGTTTTTTTTTCACGTTAATGTGATATTTACTGTCTAACAAGTAAGTTTGTGCATAGAATGAGATCTCGCATGATATAACATGTGCTGCGTGATTTACGATAATAACGTAACGTTGGCGAACAAAGACATGTACATACGAGGAACTGGGGATGCTTGAACGCGAGATTTGATGGCAGCAAATGCTTTCACGTTAAAATAAGACGGCAAAGTAAGACAAGCGGAAAAAGTTTGTTTGTACATAGAAGTATCGCGAGCTATCCTTTGGTGTTTCGCAGACGAAGGTGAGCCGTAACAACAAAATATGTATCTCGCAAAATGGTCAGGTAACAAGACAGAGAGTCTTCGAGGAAGAGTGAAACGTGATTTACTTCCGCGAAAGCTCGAGCACTTCGAATTCGAACGGCCGCTATTATTCTTATTAATGGCACAAAATGTTGTAATTGCTCGTGCACGATGGAGCTGCAACTTCAATTGGACTAAACGTCGCTGAACAATTTATAGTGAAAGTTTTTCACGTGAAACTTCTTTGAACCAGAAACAGGAATTGTTCACGAATCTTCTCCGGTTTACATGTCGAAATCATGTTCTGATCATATGTCAGTGTGTTTCAAAATTCGAAGAAAAAAGAAAAAAAAACCTACGAGAAACATACGAGAACGAAGACAATCTTCAATTTTGCTTGAGATCGGTTGAAACAAGGCTACCGCAGACGTCAAATCGACGGTATATTATTCTAATTGCATGCGCAGGTTCAACAGATCGTTTTACGACGCAGGCACGTGAAATACATCACGATCAAGACACCGTATGCCTAACGGAATACACATACTGCATCGGGATGAATGCGATCGGGGTCCACGCTTACGAACCTCTCCTTTTTAGGTAGCCTTTACGCGAATAACTGTGCGCCCATTATGCGTTCTCTACGGACTTCACGATACACAAACTTCGTCGTCGTGGTTGTTCATAATTCTTTCGCGAAGAATCTCGAGTTGAAAAAACGAACATTCGAGTTTTGGTACTTGAAAACGATCAAAGGAATTCCCCTGATCTCTGTTTCGGAGTCGGGGTCGACATTTATTTTACAGGTAAATTCGATTAGCATCTCGCCGTTCTTCAAAAGTAAGGTTCAGACAATTCCCCTCTCTCAAAGATCGCCGTAACAATGGGAAAGTAAACGAGTGGACGTCTTCAAGTCTTCTCGAGCAACGCAGAAGAACTTTCTCCGTGAAAGAAGAATCTTCTCCGTGACGACGCTCGCGCTCGCGGGGAAGATTTGCGAGGCATTTCGAAGAAACAACGAGCGAAGTGTTTAACCATGTTGGGTCAGTGACTCCGGCTACGCTCGTGTCGTTCGCGGACCCTACAGGATGTGCTACTTGGATCACTGGCACATCGCATAATTAATAACAAGCGGTCGCCAGTGGCTCGTGCCCCTTCGAGCTCGGAAGATCGACGTGAATCTCTTGAAACTTTCCGACGCGACGACGCGCGCGAAACAAACGCAAATGGCTAACAAATCTGAATTTTCCCTCGACACACTCGACTGAATTTTTCCTCTCCCTCCGCGTTCGATGGAAAATTTCTGCCTTTTTCTGTCAATTTTATTTTCACGATCGTTTCACCTGCGTGTTTGTTAATTTAGCCTCTGATGAAAACCGAGACTGATCGTAAATGCATTTCTGTTGCAGATCAACAGCAAATACAGCGAGGAACTGGCGCAGGAATGTTTGGAATGGATCAAAACGATCACCGGCGAGAACATAAACACCAACGGGGACATGGATAATTTCTTTGAAACGCTGAAAGACGGAGTCCTCCTTTGCAAGTACTTGACTTCGTTGAACGATATCGATCGAATGTTGCTTCGAGATTTTTTCTTTTCTTTTTTTTTTTTCTTTTCTTTTCTTTTCTTTTCTTTCCTTTTTTCTCTCGAGGTTAATTATCCGTTCCTTCTCCATCGTAGGCTAGTGAACGACATTAAAGAGGGATCGGTGAAGAAAATTAACTTAAAGATTAATTTGGCCTTCAAGTGCATGGAGAACATCAACGCGTTCCTCGAAGCTGCGAGAGTGCTCGGCGTCCCGGCGCAAGAGACCTTCCAGACCGTGGATCTCTGGGAAAGACAAAATCTCAACTCGGTCGTAATTTGCTTGCAATCCCTCGGTAGAAAGGTACACGCGCACGTAACATCCTTTCCTCTTTCAATAGCTCCGGCTTACTGCAAATAAAACGATTCAAGGCTCAGACAGTTAAATACGTTCTTTTGAAAATAATTGCTACGGAGCTATTCAGCGACGTTACTGAAATATTAAAATAACGCTCGGGCAAGTTCAAGGAAGCATTTGAATAATTTAGAATCATTGCTCGTGAAGGGAATTAACTTTTGATGATTATTTAGCGACGAATGAATTTCGTGATCAATGTTTTAATAAAAGATCTATATTTTTAGGCTGGTAACTATGGCAAACCAAGTATCGGACCAAAAGAAGCGGACAAAAATGTACGCAACTTTACGGAAGAGCAATTAAGAGCTGGACAGGGTGTGATCAGTCTGCAATACGGCAGTAATAAGGGTGCTAATCAGAGTGGCATTAACTTCGGCAACACCAGACACATGTAAATCTGTTTCATTTAAACATTGTACAACGAAACTTCACCCGCGTCTATTATTTTATTCCTAAGATACGCTAGATATACGGACATTTATTTTGTAAACGTTGGTAGAAGATTTGGCATGAAAGTAAAATTACGTTGTATCAAGATTCCAATTTACATTGTTACAAGATCGAAGCGCATTCGAATACTTATTGTATAATATAAAGTTATATCACATAATTTCTGAAGTGTCCTTTAGAGGCACGAAAATTTTTATAATTTTCTCATTGAAATTAATAATTATTAAATGCGATGAAAGAATCATCGTGCTCTAAGAACCAGCAGAAATGGAAGAATAAGATGACATTAAACAGTTAAGATATGTCAATGTTGTGTTGTTTGATTCATCGTGTATCATTCCTCTTCTTATGTACATGTCATGTCAATGCTCGAACATTCGAACTTGTCTTCGTTTAGGATTTACACTTCGCGTAAAAGATAAGTGCCACGCTCTTAAATGTTTCTTCAGTTTTAGGAAAATTGATGGTAATAAAAAGTGATACTTATGGAACCCCGTTTTTCTTTATTATATTGTAAGAAAAGATGAATGTTTCCTGTTAGACACCTAATTACAGTTTAGTGGAAGGATTTGGAGCATTTTATAAATACAATATTGAAAAAAATTCGATCAATTTGTCGACGCAACATTAAAATGGGGAAAATAACCGAAACAATTGCAATGAAATTGCCATATTTTTTGGTTTTAATTCCCGTCACTAGTAGTGCTGCGGTGCAAAATCTGTCTGAATCGGTACGACAGGATGTGACACAAAAATGGTTATGAGGTTACGATAATCTCAAAATCGTGGCCGAAAAAATACATTGTCTGCGAGGTCCATTCATATACCTTGTCCGTGGCAATGTCTATTCATATACTTTGTTTGTGCTATCAGTCAATTATTCTAGTTAGTCAATGATCACAGTAGCTAGTTCAATTTCTACTAAACCGATGAAAGATAAGATTTGATTTCGGTCAAATAGTAAATACGTAATAGTACCGCTAGATGCCAGACCCATGCAATACTTTGGCTGTTCTTGATCCGCTTATTCTACTGAATCGTTAACGTAGAATGCGACACGAAAATGGTAAAGAGGTCAATTGATATTCCAAATCGTTGCATTATGCTGTACCATTGTCGACAAACACGACGAAATTCGACATCAAATATTTCTTATCATAAATTTTTATCGTTCAATCTTAATCAAAGTTCAATAAAATAAGCGAGAAGAAAATCGTACAGCAATTTTTAAGAAATCGTTACAATGAGGAAACTTTACAAGATTATCGTGGGTTTAGTTATAAAAGAAATTTTTCAGTGTTCTCACAGACTACCCTTTTCAAAAAAAAGTACTCCCGCTTTTTCAGTCGCTACATGGTGATAAAATATCTTTGAGAGAAATGAACTCAAGGTTCCTAAAGTAAATGCTTCGTGTTTTAAAACGAACCCGGATTGTTTGTACGATTTCTCCTTCACGAAGTTACAACAGTTTAAAGTTATCGACAAATTTTCATCGCGTCCGAATCCGCTTTTTGTCTATCAATGTTTAAATTTCTGCATCAGGAGGAACAATTTAAATTTGCGGGAGTGGAGTACGAAAATTTACATATTATTTTCTGGAACATTTCCAATGGTACATTATCATCAACGTGCACGATTAATCATTGATACTATTCAATACATGAAAACTTTAAGAAATTGAACGGGGAAACGAATTTACGAGCACAAACACTTCTCTACACTCCTGTCCTTTATCTCTAGCAATCTTTTTATCGACGCGATTGGCAGCTATTCTTCAAGAGTATATCGATGGAGAAGATGAGTTGCGTTCGAGCAACGAATAAAAGCGGAAACAAGAAGCGATCCACGAAATCGATCGATCTCCTTTCAACGATTAATTGAAACCTTATTGAACCTCAGAGGTAGACACAGTGAATGGCGAAATAATTTCTTCAGCGTTGCTTCAGTGTTAAAGAGTTCAATGCAACTGAAATAATGTAGTAAATTATGTAGTCATTTGTTAAGTTTATCGTATTTTACGTATTTCGGTTCTTTTATAGAATTGATTCAGCATAGAGTTTCTATCGTTTTGTATAACTTGGTTTAGATTTAGTTATGCAGTTATTTGTTAGACTCATCATGTTTTACATAGTTCAATTGTTTTATGAAATTAACTCAATATAGAATTTCTATTTTTCTACACAATTGGTTTAGATTTAGTTATCGTGTAGTTAGCTGAATTTTTCAGATTAATTTTTTAACGTGATGTATCAATCCAAAGGTAGATCTACTTTTCTTCTCGATTGATCGAGATGACTATGGACCAGTAATCGCGTTACTGTAACATCTTATTCTTTCAACTCGTATAATTAAATCTTTTCATATCGGCGTTGTGAAAGGAAACTTCGAAAGGATACGTTTAGTATGTTTGCATAACAGTATCTCTTTCATCCATAATATAATTTTAAAGAAATTGACGCGTTTATAATATCTATATCCATAATATAATTTTAAAGAAATTGACGCGTTTATAATATCTATGCTTGCTCCTCGATGGATTAAATTACAAAATTTGGAAACCATTTTTTTCATACATTTCAAATTTAATCTCATCGAAGTGCTAAAATGCTTCGAGACATTTTATTTTTCACGACCATAATTCTATTCTACTGTCCACATTTCCCACTTGCGATCCACGTAAAATCAAAATCGATGCTGCACCTTTAATTTCTTAAATCGCACAAATAAGGTGTAAAAGAGAAAAGAGAAAGTGGCAGTGACAGCTTGAAAACACTTGAAAGTCGTATAATTCTCTATTTCGACCAGCGATCCTCGAGAGAGATCGAAACATGCAAGGATAAGAAGACAATAACGTTCGACAACGATTCCGAAACGAAAATTTTAATCGTGCGTTTTAAACGAAAACGATACAGGTTCTAGGATCTAGAATCTTGATGAAGCTCTGACAAAGGAAATAGTGAAGGGGTTGCGCATTGATAAATTCTCTGGTGGCTGTCTTCGTATCACGCGTTCACATCGTGATTTAAATGGGCGAATTAAGGTCGCGTGACTGGTGATCTAGGACAATCGCCAATGACGTGCTTGATTTTCTGCTGGATCATTTTCCGCTGCTCGTTAAACACGGATAAAATCTCCGGGGGGATTATGCGACTTTCCAGTGAAACGCGCTAGAATCTGGAATTTAGGGGAACTGGAGTATTTGAGTTTATCTTGAGAAGGGATCGCGAAAAATTTAATAAATTTAGGATAGTTTTTAAAAGGTATAAGATAATATTGTGCCTCTGAGTTGTTAAAAATTTAATAAATTTAGGATAGTTTTTAAAAGGTATAAGATAATATTGTGCCTCTGGGTAGTTAGAAGAGTTTTTGAATAATTGTATAGAAAAATATTTTTATTTCGATATTTCTAATGTGAAGGATTTGGCGGAGCGATCGATCGAAATTGTAGATTCAGAATTATCGTAAAAGGTGATTTATGTTATTGTTAAAATTTTGGAATAATTTTGTGGAAATAGATTTATCTAATATTTTTATTTAATCAATATTTCCAATGTGGAAAAGTTGAAGAAGTTTCGAGAAGAAATTGTTAAAAATTTGGATGATTGTAGAAAGATCGATAACATTGTATTTTCATACTATCATAGGAACTTTTGAGTAATTTTATGAAAAGAAATTTATATTTTCAATTTAACGTGGTGGAAGTTGAAGGAGAAAGTTAAGAAAAAAAAAAAAAACGAATTCCATCTTTTAACAAAAATATTATAATTAACTCGTGCCACTTAAAAACTTCTAGCAACGAGATAAATCGACCGATCGATTTCGAGACTCGTGTCGATTTCACCCAATTTCAAGAACGTGTCTTGTTTCTCTTTCACAATTAGCAATCAGACCTACCAGCACTCAACTTAAACACAAAGTTGACGCTGCGCGTAAATTCGCGTGGTGTGTCGCGAGTAAATTACACACTGTCATATCCTACATACCTAAAGCTTGATAAGTGTCTCGGGGATGAAACATCGCTCCGTGACGACGATGAAAGTTTCGTATATCGGTTTTAAGAGGATGGACCACTTGAATCTCGATAAGACGGCGTCCATTGTGTCGTCTTTCCCGAATGTATCGCAACGTATAGCTATATTTATACAAGTGGACGCGGGGCCGCGTTGAAAGACTGGTGGAGATTTAAGATTTCTCGAATGCCAGCCACCGAATTTTCCAGCGAGCCTCTTACTTGGATTATGACCGAGAGCTTTAACATACAACTTCTTTTTTTATCTTGCGCGATAATTTGTTGAAATTCATTCGCGAATTTTTTACGAGAGGAAGTTGTAACGTCTTGGCACAATTTTCGTCGCGTGGCAAGAAATGGAGTTTGGATTTGATCGTTGAATCGTTCCGTTTCATTAAAAGATTCGAATCGATGGGAAGAAATTGGAAGATACGTGTTGCGAGAAATTATATAGAAACCGTACTTTCGTGGCGTATAAAATTGTCGAGTATGAATGTTTCTAAAATCGTTGTTAGCAAAATCTGTCGAATATAAAAGGACACTTTGAGCAAATCGAGATCACCGTCGCAAGGACGAGGCATTTGTGATACGTAGGTAACCCGAAGATGTTGAGAACACGCGTAATTAATATTTTAGCAGGAACGCGAGCAACGTGCCACGCTCCTTTTTGCGCCAACTAAACGACCACGGGATTTACGAGCAAACTGTTGCTTTTGTTGCGCCACCAGGCCACGGTTTTCCGTTGGAAACGCGACTCGCAAGCTCGAATCGTTCGATTCGCGGCAAAAAGATAGAGTATAGGTTCGGACGGCTCGTGACAGGGGTTGATTTATGCGTCGAATAAATGATGTCGCTAAAGTGTCCTGTTGTTTTTTGCCAGTGGGGTGTGATATTTCAATGAATGGGAAAGCGAGATCCGTGAACGAATGGGAAAAGAATTTTCTGCGATAGCATTTTTTTTTTTTTTTTTTTTTTAAATCGAGCCATTCTATTTTCTAAGTGTCGCGTGAGATTAATTTACAGTGGCGATCATCGAAGCTAAATTCAGTGACAGAACGATGGTTCTCTCTTCAGGTGGAAATTAATCGGAGGTAGAGAAAGACAATTGTTTCGATTTTCCTGGAAAAGTAACGTAGTTATTGCGAGATTACGCGAATATTTTTAAATTCGACTATATAATTGAGATATTATATATTATTATAGAATTGAGATATTATTGTTCATTATTAATATTGTTCATTAATATTGTTCATTTGTGTATTGAACAATTACAAATTTATTCATCTATTTGGTCTAGACGAAAATTTTCTCTAAACACTGAGAACCATATTAGACAAGAATCAATTATAAATTGAACCATATGCTATATTTATTTAAATATAAATTGAATCATACGTTGTGCGTGTTTGAAATACGACAGAATATTCGAAATTAAACACATGTAAAGAATTAAATTCTTTACATTTCCATCATATTCTAAAAATTTGCAGTCCAACGAGTTAGCCAGAGGCTGCCTAAAAAAAAAAATTGCATTCGAACGAACGAATTTCCGAGCCTAAATACCCTCTTTTATTCAAGAATTAAAATTCCTCCCTACGAAACTTTCACTGTGAAAACATCCTCTCTTCCCTTGAGCTTCCATCGTCGAAAGAGCGCCGTGGGAAAGACGATATCAAAAAATTGGTTTAATCACGAGTCGCAATTAAAGGATGATAACGGGTTGGTAGGATGGATAGATGGATGGATGGACGGTGGAACGAGGGGGTGGTCGGGCGGGCGGGCGGGCGGGCGAGTGCCGCGCGAAGACGAGCAAAAAGGGAGCAAGGCAGGAGCGTAAACAAGGGGGAATGCAACGTGGGGGTGGATGGCGGAGAACGAGACGGCAACACACGCGCTCATGCGCGCCTGGAACCCCGCCCTGTCGCTTCGGACGAAAGCTTGTCCCGTCGAGGACTCTCGGTCGAGTTTCGGCGAGTAGTCACGCTTTAACTCGCGATCCGCGAGGCGGATGCTACACGGGACGCGAGTTCGCAGGTGCGCCCAGATGTAACCACGCAACGAGAAGGCTTGGAAGCAGGAAAAGCTGGTCGATCCTTGGCTCCTGCAACCTGTGCCGGAAATAGCACGCACGCGGACGGACGGAGAGCCGTGGTTCTGAGCCGGTGGCGAAGCTTAGAAGTTAGGCCAGGAGGCAGGTGTAGGTGTCAGGTGGAGGTCGTAGGCAGATGTGTCGGGGTGTTTATCAAGCATCGAGCTGTTCTTTTCGTTCGACGGTTGCGCGGCTGGCTTGACGACAGAATTTCGCCGTTCCGTCGAGGAACACTTGTGGATCGTGGCGAGTAACATACGCGACACACACACATGCACACACACACACATACACACACACACATACACATAGACACAGGGGTGCGTTATTTCTAAATGTAAGATCAGGGAATCGTTCGTCTCGCCGCTTTTGGATACGCGTGTTCGGCCGCTCGAATCGGCTAAGGTAAATACCGGAGTGTGCGAGATTTCTAGGTCAACAGGCAGCGGCCAGAGGCAACCAGTTGCGGGTGTAATCGTTCTTGTAACCGAAGCCAAACGCAAGGGAATACTATGGTCATTGTTGGGTGAAACAGACGGAGGGATAGAAGGGGCTCGTTGGCGATAATCTAGCCGGTTGGCCAATAAACGTCAGAGATAACAGAAGACGGGGGAGGATTTATTTATAAGAAGTGTCGAGGAGAGAGCGACAGGGGAGAGAAGAGGGTTCCTGTTGTTCGTTAAGGTCACGTCGCTGGTGATCGGATTTCCTTGATTACGGTTACGGTATCGACGCGAGGAGACAGCGGCTGTGTGTTCTTTCTCGCTTCGGTGGAGGAAAGCAAGAAAACTTCGATCAATCTGGGACGAACGAGGCGGGACGTGTTATCCTTCGTTTCTCGCGTCCTGTACGCGACTTTTGTTTGATTAAAACGCCAATGCCAATAGCGGATCTGTCGTCGATTTTCGTTAAGTGGAATGATTCTTAGACGATTGTATCTGTTCGTTGGATATTAATCGAGAATAATTGAACGAAAGGAAGAAGCAAGAGAACAAGGAAGAAATTAGCAAGAAAATCGAAACCAGTTGGATTATTATTATTATTATTATGGAAAATGACTAGTCGATCGGACTTTCTATCGTGTTTTTAAATATCTTTATTCGTCTTATTCGACGTTGGCCGATCAGAGGAGAGTGTCTGCAAAAGTGAACGAACATCACCACGACCTAATTAAGTTATTTTGTTAACGATTACGAGTGTCGTCGATTACGCGATAGATGATCGAGTGATAATTACCCACGGTGGCGGATCGGAGCGGATAGGAGTGCTTAGCTCAAAGATAACGGCCTTGAAACTTTTCCACGCGCGGATCGGAAGACCCGAGCTAGGCGAGATGCTCTATGCCCGACACAGCGTGACTACAGCTAAAAGGTCGTGATCGATCGACTTACTTCGATGGCCTAAAAGAACTTTAAACGTGCAAGGTCATTATGCATAGCGATAAAACGGGGACGTTGTAAAGTGCTGACAAGTCGGTCGGTTCGTTCGACTGTTACCACCGACACCGGCCATTTCGTTCGAAATAATACGCACACACACATACACACACACACACGCACACTCGACGAGTCATCTGTTATACTTCTATTAGCGTCCAGTATCAGTAAGAACACAGTAACAGTAACAGTCTCGATAGAAGAACGCGGTGCCCTGGTTGGAACAGGTCAGATGAGGCGATAGTCGATCCGCGCGATGTCGTGCGAAGGATACGTAACCTTGGATCGAGAAGATACTGACATTCGCGAGATGTGCCACGCACATCGCTCGAGCTCGTTCGAGTTCTCGCAGTGTTTCCACGAGACTTCGCAGACATCGTCGCGTTTGACGGAGCGACGATAACGGAGGATCGCTTCGCATCAGGATCCAGCCGTGTATCTATTCTCGTGTCATCTATGATGATCGTTGGATCGTTCACCGAACTCCACCCTGAAAGCCAAACGTGAGCGTCGGACTCGACAGAGTCAACGGAACCAATTTGTACATCCTCGTTTCCACATGGTTCTAAACGTCGACCTAAACAGCCTAGAACCTCAGGTGGATCAACAAAGGGTGATCCTCGATACTCGCTGCTAACTAACTAACGCTTCTAGATTGGAGCAACCACTAGACCAGTGGGAAGCCGAGCGTTGGCCAAATGACGCGGCTCGCTAAATGAGATCACCGATCGAACGATCCAGAAAGCTGCTACTTGTGGCCGATGCGAGTGGATGCTCGACGGTCGACATCGCGATCGTGCCAACCCACGAGCAAGTGAACGGACAAAAGCGGCCACGGCCGGCACTCGATGAGTCCTAGTGAAGATAAGGATCGTCGAGTACCCTCGATCGTTTGCCTGGAACGCCCGAAGAAGCTCCGGTTGGCAGCTATCTGAGTGCTCCGAGGTCGGGTGATGCGCGGGAGCAGCTCTGAGCTCCTGCTGGAGGCGAGCTGCGTCCAGTGTCAGAGCGATCATCACGCCGGCCAGCACACCGCCAGGCATCAGCAGCAGCATCAGCTGGGCGAGAAACACGACTTCCAGGAGCGAGAGCTACGTCATCGCAAACTGTTGGAGCTCGGGTTCGGCGCTTCGCGGCGCCGACCGCCACGGCGTACCTGCCGTCAGCGGTTCAACTTCTACGCCACATCGGCGTTGGCATTCGTCGCGACGTCCGGCGGCGCGGCCCTCCTCTTCCTGGTGCCGCTGTACGTCGATCCGGCCATCAGCACTCTGGCCGCCGATTTCTCGCCGGACCCAGTCATCTGCACCACATCCAGGCGCGAGGAGCTCGCTGGTCTATTCAACTGCACCTGGAGCTCCTGCCGCGAGGGATGCACCAGCGACGTCTACAGGTGTACGCACATATACGTCACGTACACGCCATGGAGCAACACCAGCATGAAGAACGACACCGGGGGTAGAAGCGGTTCGGCAAACTCGAGCGGCGCGCACACCTCGACCACCTCTGGTAAGAAACTTTTGTACCGCGGGCTTAGCTTGATAAAAACTCACGCCTGAAGGATAAAATTGGAGCACGGAGTTACTGGGCTATCTGTTGTTTGCTACTGGGCTTACGTAGTTTTGCGTCGTTGCGGGAGATTGATTGATCTTTGAAGATGAAACAGTGTTTCGAGTTAATAAGCCACGAGCGCGTGTACTCTATTTAAAATTGTGCCAATTATCGATGGTTTTCTGTGGTTTCAGTTTTTTATTTTTTATTTCCTTGGGAGGGATATTATAGTGTTGAGGAAGATGCTTGGCTGTTTAAAGAAATTTGTAAATTGTTCCACAGTGGATGATTAAAGTTGAGTAGAGAGATTGCAGTATTTGGTGAAGATAAAAGTTTATAACAATTTTTGTGTGCTTTTTAAGAAATTACTCTCCTCTATGTTTACAGTATACAGTGGCTACTAAATATCGTTTCACACTGTTTTTCTGTTTGAGTGCAAATATTTGATACTACGGAAATGAAGCTCAGAGCCAGATGAAAACATGTTTCATTATTACCTACTTTTTGTAGCCACTGTACTTGGCTAGAATTAACAACAATAAAATTATATTAGATGAAATTTTGAAGTATTCCGTGTATTTGAAAATTTATCGTGTCGAATTAGAAAAATTGAGTCTCGATGAAATTTGTACGACGTAATCTGCTTAAAAACCTAAATTTCTTTTCTCCACGGATGGTATTACGCGATAACGATATAATCTCTCCGTCAAAGTTGCCATACTGTCGCGACTTTAAATCTTATTAAATTCTTCTTCCTGTTTTCGAGCAGACACGTCAGAACGTTGCTGCTTTCGTGTAGAAAGTTTCTTTATATCTATTCTCTCATTCGACGAGATATATCGGGGCACATAAAAATTCGAAGTTCGGAACACGGATGCACATTCTTCGAGTGAATTTTTGCAGCAGAGGAGATAGTTTGTATACCATAAATTATTTTAGACATCTAATTTTCAAGTTGTACAGTGTTGTATTCATCGTGGAATATATTTGTTTCATCAGTGAGAAATCCTTTCACCTCGTTATAAAATTGGATTTATTTTTTCATTTGAATTAATCTACTTCCTGCAAATTTTTTTAATTTAATTAATCATGCATGTGTTTAATTTAAAAAAAAAACACACACACACACGCACACTTTACTTTTGTTCATTGTCGTAGGTAATAGCAAGTTCGAAGACGAATTCAAAAATTTATTATATTGCTATCTGTTAAGTTTTAACATTTTTTTTCTATCCTTGTGTAAAATTGATCAATGTGGTTTCCGAACACCAAACTCTAGTATTTAACAAGAACTCTAGTCTTCTTTCTACTATCATCTGGTTGTTTATCTTTGTGCATCGTTGCTAAACTTCGCACTTGCATTCATTCTTTATTATAATCGTATGAGGACATAAGAGCGTATAAGGCGTATAAAATTTACATCACGCAAATCCATAGTCGCTCCATTTGGTGCTCGTGCTTATCGTTAATCTTGCAAGTTTGCACCTCTTTAACTCGACCGCGTTACAAAATCGATATTATCGACGTTTGTTTCGCTGAGTTAACGGAATACTCATTGTTGTTGAAGATTGTCTGCGAAGATGTAGGATTTTTCTGTTTCCCGCTACTTTCTAATTCGTCGACGAAGTTTCCTCTTGAATGTTTCACAAGCTAAGTCAGCGTGACATTTCGTAAATTTCCAGAAAGATTGTTTGTTCATTGGGAAATTCTCAAACAGTCTACAAAAAAATCTTTAGCTTATAGTTGTTCGTCAAAGATTTTCGAAACTTTACTACGAGAACGCAAGGCGTTCATAATTAAAAGTAGTCAGAATTTCTGAAAGCACTGTAAAGCTTTCAAAGTAATATGAATTGCATTTATACATTTAAATTAGATTAGATTAAATCTTCAAGAATTAAAATTGGAAATATCATTGACTGTGACGTCTCGGAAAAATCGGAAAATAATTACAACGACTTGTGCAATACATCGATGTTTAATGAAACTAGTAATTAAATTTTGCACAAGTTCTCCATTAAAAACACATGAAAATTGCATTATAATTTAATAAAGCAGTTCCAACGTACGTTTCAATTTATTCCTTGTCCTTGTTAAATACACAGTATCATTTTCAAGAAATGTCTTCTTTTATCACTGTGTAGTATCTCAGCTTAGATCGTACCCAACTGTTCGCTACCATTTGTGAATTAAATACGAATTAAATACGAAAAATAGGAAATAAGAGATTAGACTAGTTAAAGATAGTAAGAACAAAATTTTCTTCGACGTAATAAAAGAAAAAAAAAAAAAAAATGATACAGATGTAAAAAAAAAAATTAATAACAGTAAATAAATAAAAAAACATATTCTGTAATATTGTAATAATTTCAACAGTGCCAACGCCAGGCGACGTGGAGGCGGTGCTGCTGGTGAACATCAAAGGTTGCGGCTATCCGCCGATCGTCGACTGCGAGAATTTCACCCGCGAACTGGGCTACGAAGGCGCGAAATTCCCCTGCCATTACAGCCGCGTGAACGGCAGCATAGTGATGGCGAACTATAACCGCGAGGCGCAGGTCACCACCATCATACACTTCTTCGCGGCGCCTTTCGTAGTGACTCTCGCGACCAGCGTCGCTCTGTGTGTGATGCACTGTGACTGCAGGTGCAGTCCACCGCCACGGCATTCGTCGCGAGGAATCAGAAGAGGCAGGGGCAACGATCTCAGGTAACGTGACATTGAATAAGGTTCGATAAAACCATCCAGCGTCGCTGTACAGCGATTGTCTCGTCTGTTCCGGATCGACTTTCGGAATTGGACGAATTAGATAATTGGAAGAATGCTCGATTGTCGATAGTCGATGTTTCGAGTCGGTGAGTTATGATTTCTCGAGAGGGCAGCGGTTTCTATTTCGTGGTTATTCTTTCCGTTATTTGGAGATAATTTTGTTTACCAAAGTTTTTGGTATTGTTAATAAACATAAGTAATAAATATAACAAATATTGGGACGCGTTTAGAATCGGGATGATTAGAGGATGATATAAAATTGATGTACAGAGTTTGATGAGAAAATATCACTAGAAAATATTACTTTTGTATCACATATTTCTATTGGTAGTAGATTTCAATTTGGCAGTGAAAAATGTTGCAAAGATACTGTAATTTAAGTAATCTGTCAGCTAATAATATCTTGAGAGTCGGTATCATCAAAATATTCTAGGGACTAGAATAAAATAAAAGAGACAGAGAACAATATTCAAAGTTGCAGTTCAACTTCGCAACATCACCGAGCAAAAGGAGTGAAAAATTCGTGCATTAAATCTAACCGTCTCAACTTTACACATTCGAATATTCTACCATCATTTGTTAATTACATAAATTACTTAGTTAACAACAGAAGTGTGGGTCTCGGCTCGACGAAAGTTGGGAGATACAGGACTAGATCTTAAAAAATTTTCGAGGGGGTGAGCACGATTGGAATGTCATCGTAGACCGTACGCTTTATTATTCATCGAGTCGGTGTTTGAAGAACGCGTTTCCTTCGATGGATTGACGACCATCAACGAAGACGTGATATCTTTCTTCTTCCTGTTAGTTTCTACTAGCTTTTTGAGACTTTTCAAGATTTTTGAATTCAGATTGCCACGATTGTTGGGTCTCTGAAATTCGAAGGAAGTTGGAGACGTCTTGTTTCAAAGGAAAGTGAAGGCTGTCGAAGGTATTTCCCTCTCGGGAGAGCGGTTGGTCCGGGAATTGCGATGTGCAACGTGAATATAAAGTTGAATTCAGACGTTCGGTCCGTGGTTAGAGAATGAAGTGGTTTATTAGCGTTGGTTATCAAACAAATCCTGCTCGAGTAAATATGATTGTTCAAACATCAAGACTGACTTGCTTTCATTTACGGTACGTCGTGCGCAAATAAGGGGAATGATTACTTGCAAAACAAACGTGGGTGAGTAACGAGGATATTTCGCGTGCACGACGAGAGTTTCCTTCGGTTTCAGCGAAATTTGAAAAGAATTCCCATGTATGCACATTTAGAAAAATCACGAATCTTTCGATGTATTAAAAATACTTAATAATGTGTTGACGTATCTGTTAAAATATAATTTTCTACTCAATTTTGAAATGTTTCCTTGGAGATATATTTTTCGATTCTTAGATTATTATTTTATGAACGGGAGGGAGGCAACATAAAATGCTTAATTAAAATAAAACTTATGGTTCTTCGCTGTTCTCCGTGAAAACTAAAAGAAGCACGAAACCGCTAGGATTTATTTGTCTCATACGTTTTTTCATTGCATTCAGGTGTCCGGCTTCTAACGTTCGCGAAAACGTGACAGGAATACATTCGACTAAATCCTTTGATTGGTAAACGTCGAATGAAACCGTTTCAAACTGTTTCGTTCGATTAAACGTGGCAACCAAAAAAAAAAAAAAAAAAAAAAAGAAAAAAAGAGAAAGGAATTCGCTTATAAAGGGCATCGATCGAATCACTGTTGGTGATTGAGCGTTAGATTTGGAATTTCGTCGACCTACTGGTGGATTTACTGCGACGAGAAATCGTGATCGTACTAACGATGAAGCAACGTATCGAGGACAGAAGGTAATAGGAAGGTGTTTCTTCGTTAGATGAAAATTGCTCGGACAATTTTCGAAATAATCCTCCTTTGCTGGTAAATGAAAGGAATTTCTGATATCGAGGTGATGAAAAATATTACGTATGGATGCTCATATATTTGTGAGAAATTTAAAAGCTCAGAAATACACAGAATGTTCGGAATAAAAAATAATTGTACAATATTTAATAAGCGAAGCGTTTCTAGTACAGTTTCTGTACTTGTATTTATTATTTAAAGCGACACTGAAAGCAGTTTCATAGCATTTAGAAAGATTAAAAAGAAGCAAACATCTCGACCTTCAAGTTTAGAAATATTTCAACTTTAAAAACATCGGGAAATACGAAATGAAATGAAAAAAGTATTGATTCATTAGCTTCTATCTGACTGACAGACGCTTGCCGTTGATATATTTATTTCTTCTCTACTTGCAAGTTGAAGCAGTCGCGATGAATTGAAATTGGACGAGCGTGTTGATGTTATTCAACGTCGCGTGGCTGTAAAATCGTCGAGCCAGATTCGAAGAAACACGGACGTGCATCCTGGAACAGCGTCCTGAATTTCGCAAATGCTCTGCTTGCTTAAAAAAATACGAGCACACGGTCGCGGTTACATATTTAATAACAAAGATACGAGACAGCCTTCATTTTATCGCGAGTGCGCGCGTTATTATGCGGCATCGCGAAAAAAAAAAGAGCACTCAGCACCCCGCTTTAAAGCTCGAGCCTACTCCATTACAGGCCACTGCGTCACTGAGGCCACTTTCCCGTATCTTTCGACTTTTCGACGCCCTTTCTGATGGATTTCCGTCATTCCCCAAATTATTCACCGTATACAATCAACACACTCGTATAATTAAAAGAAAAAAACCACTCGTTTTACGACATACAGAACGAAAATTGCGTATATCAAGTTTTGCGGGGAGCTTTGAGATTTCAATCTTGATAAAATTCTTCTTTCAACGTCTCGAAGAAATAATTAAACGTGTTTTCTAATGAATCTTCTCAATTTTCATAATCATTCGTTCGTTTTACGCTGAAACAAAAGTTCAGTTATACCCCAGTTACGTGCAATTTGAAGATCGGCACAATTGTCAGATTTTGAAAATCCTCAACTTCAAAGGAAAGAGCGAGGAAAAAGAACAAGGTAGAAAGGTTAAAGAAGAATAGGGATAGAAAACTTTGAACTTTTTCACGTTTCCGACAGTACCGCGAGAACCAATTTTCATTGCAGCGCGCAGACAGTGATATAAACAAGTGTAATCCCAAAATCTCATCCTTCAAAAAAAAAGCAGAATTTTTTTAGCACACTTTCTGATTTATGTTAAAATCCGACCGACATAAAGGGAACGAGGCAAATATACGCGCGAATCGCGAGCTCGTAAAATAGTCGCGAGAGTTACACTGCAATGTCAGCATATCATTGCGAAACGACGAAGGGGGAGGATCGTGATATGCCCATTTTAAATGTCGCGAGATCGTTTGCCGAGTATCCGCCGGGCTCATCATGGTCTCTGGCTTGTTATTTTTCTGTCGCGGCTCGTTTGTCATCTTTATAGCTAGCGCTACACTCGTGGTTGAGTGTATTAGAGTGAAACAGGCTGGATGCTCGTACGAAAGGGACGTGCATCTCCAACTTGAACTCGTGGTGATATATCAGGCTCAGATTAATCGAGCAGACTCTATCGGCGCTCCTCTGGCTCTTCCGTTTCCTGCCTCGCTTTTCGTGTCCGCCAAATCCTTCGGCTTATGAACTCATCGCTTTATTTCTGCTGGATAATGTTTGACGAATGAACCTTTCGTTTCTTCGACGGTTCGCGTATCCCTCGGTTACTTCATTTCCATAGAAGTTTACTTGGAAATTTGGATTATTTATCTTTTATTATCTGACAGCAGTATCGACGAATAAAGCATAAAATTTCCATCAGGGGCATTGAAAGCTTTACAACACAACGTAAGCTTTCATTTAAGTTTGTTTTATAAAATATCGTTTACATTTCTAAAATTTCTAACAAAAAGAAAAGTATAGATTGGGCATGATGACAATTTTGGTAGTTCTAGTGTCAATTTCAGATGCAGTGACTAGGAAAATCATTGATATTTATTATGGGTCGTTATATTTATTACAGATGCGAGTATGTTATGTTTTAGTTATTCAGCAATATTTTAAAAATTAAAGTGTAAATTTCTTGAGTGAAGAGTAAAATCTGATTAAAAAGACACTTCTTCATTAGGAAATAAAGATACGTGTCGATACTTTTATGCTTTATTCGTAGTCGTCGTAATTTATTTTTGGGTATCAATTTGACGATAATCGTTTCTTAATGTCGATACAACGGTGAAGAATAAATGTAAAGGAAAGATGAATTCTACATCTTCTATATCTTCTTCGTTTTTACTGTTAATTGGTCGTGTCTTTATTTAATTGATTCTCCTTTATGACAACATAAGGAAATGAACACATACATTTTCTTCATACATTTCTCTTTATCTTCAGTAGTAATGGAATATTAACAGCAAGTAACAGTTAAGTTATTTCATTATTCAATTACATAAATCGCCAAACGTCTCTATCCCCGACAGCAACGGAAATAATTCAAACGAAATAAAGTTGAGACGACTCTCTAATGGAAAAAGTGCCTCGACTCGCCAGCCTTAAATCCAAATCTCATACCGTCCAATATCCCCCCGTTATTTCTCGAAATACCGTCCACTGGCGCTTGTAGGTTGTCCTAAAATTCACGCGACGTGCACGGATCCATTGTTGAAACCCGATATTCCACAGTTTTTCTTCGCTTATCTCGCCTTCACTTCGAAGGAGAAGCTGTGAACCAATAAATTTTCACGGCTGTTTCACGGATCGACGCTCGAGCGCAGAAATCCTGCCAAGGCGAAGAGCTCTGCGTCGAGCGGGTACGAACTTTTATTGGGTCGGAGAGGCCGTTTCGCCCGTCAACTAATCAAGCTTTCTCGCGAGAAGTCTGCCTTTGAAGCACACCTGGCCAATGATGTTTCGAAACGCACGGGAAGCTCCTTTAGGAAAGGAAGCGTGAAACGTTCGGGAACTTTTAATTGGAGTGCCGGCTCGGAAAAGGGTCATGAATCGTTG